CCATTTCTCTGAGCTCCAGAAAGGTGGAGAGGCAGACATGTCTCCCGCTGCTTCCAGAGCACCTGACTGAGCCCTCGCATCGCACCTGACACTGACTGTGCAGCGCATCCCTCAGCCACCCTGCTCCCAACTCCTCATGGCTCAGAAAACAAGGTGCTCAGCCATGCTGCTGCTTTTGCAAGAGAGTCCCTGCCATCCCACTGCGCCTGCCGCCCCACTCCAGCTCTCACAGGATTTGGGTCTCCCTTCTGCGGGGGACGGTGACACCTCCCTCGGCCACTGCTGCCAGCTGTGCTTGGTGGCGAGGACAAATGTTTGTATTGGCTCGGGACTTTGGCTCAGTTTTTGTGTATATAAGGCAGAACTGGTTTTCCTTTTTATTTTTTAGGCATCGGTGAAAATAAAAATGAGCAGGAATCCCGTGTGCCACGGGTTTCTTGCTGTCTCCTCCCAGCCCGCGCTGCTGAGGCAGGGGAGGGATGTCGGCTCTGGGGTCACACCGGCACCGATGCCCCCGAGCGCAGCCGGGGTCAGGAGAGAGGGGGGCCCTGCCCAGCCCCACTGAAAAGGGTGCAGATGGATGTCTTGACACAGCAGCCTTGCTCCTGCAGCATGCAGCGTGCCCATCCCGCAGGGGTGTTGCTGGTGGTGGCATGGCCCGCACCATGGTGTGGCACAGCTACACCCCATCCCTTTGCCACCGAGAGGGTTGGCCATGCCAGGCAACTAGGAGACTTCAAACTCACAGCCCCGGGGGCAGCTGGGGAAAGGGTGAGGTTGGGCTTGGGCTGGCAGAGGCCAAAGAACAAGGCCAGCTGCCCATGGACGTGGCTGCCTCCCATTGGCACCTCCAGGCCTCTAATCTCATTTTATGGCTGTTGACGGGCTGAATATCCTCCTTGTCCAAGAAGAGCAAACAGAGAACGAGGATGTGAGATAGTGCCTGGAACAGCTGGCATCGGTGCCCAACGCTCTCCTCTCTCCATCCCAGCCATGTTCCTCTGGTCCCTGCAGAGCACTGAGCAAGGGGCTGCCCTCAAATCCCTGCCCAAAGCGGCTCCTCCAGACCTAAAACATGACAAACGTTACCTGGGAAGAGGTGGGGATGTGTGTGCCAAGGTGACCAGGCAGGGCAGGTGTCTATGGAGGGACACCTGATACAGGATAAAGTCCTCATGGGTGGAGGAGATGGAGGAGCAGGGGCAGGATGAGGTGGCATTGCAGAGAGAGGGACAGAGCAAAGGGTATTTTCCTGACCTTGCAACAGCGGCTGCATCTACTGCTGCACCCTGGTGACCCCACACTCACCGGCAACGGCACTTGGGCTGCCCATAGCATGGGACCACCCTCTCCCTGCACCCCTGCAAGGCCATGTGGGACCTCAGGAGATAAAACAGCCTGGGGGGACAAAGGCAATGGAGCTGGTGCCATATGGGAAAAGGGATGGGACTGGATGGGCCACCTGCCCAAAGAGCTGAGCTGGACTGGGGAAACTGGGGCCATTTCTGCATGGACACTCCAGTGTGGTCCCCACGCCGGGGGCTGGATCCTCCACACACATCCTCTTCCCTCTCTGGGCTTCGCCTGCTTTTGACATCCAATTTTGTTGTTGCCACATGGGGACTGACTGATGGGATCCTGCCCTAGCAGGGGACAGGGCGGTGGCAGCCCAGCCCTGGGCATTGCCATTGCCTGCAAGGGGAAAGCTTGAAGGGAAACAGTCCTGGGGGGCATGAAACATGCATCTCCCAAATTCACCCACTGTATTGGAGTGCCCGTGGGTGCGTGAGGGGCCGGGCCAGAGGGAAGATGCTCCACCACCCGCCCAGAGAGGCAACGAGTGCCGTTGACAGGATGAAATTCCAACTGATACCCTAATCTGGCGCCTGCCTGTTTGCACAGTGGGGTAAAAGTCCAGCAAGCCGTGGGCTGTGCCCTTGGGTTCCTGCCGCCCGTGTGTGCACAGGGAGCCGGCACTGGCGGGAAGAGGCAATAAATGCACCCACACACCCAGCCACCCCTTCCCCCAACACACACACATGCCCCTTGGCCGGGTGACGAAATGCATCTGCTGCGTCCCTGCTCCCGTGTCCTCCCCTGCCTCCCTCTAGCCGTCATTTGGGCAGGGATGGGCGAGGCATGCGGGGCCCCTCCCATGCCAGGAAAGGAGCTGATGGAACCCCACGTCCCCACCAGCTTTGGAAACTTTGGTCCAAACCTCCTGGCCACGCGTCACCTTGACGGTTGTACCCCCAACAGGTGACAGGCACCCAGTTTTAGCACCTGCAGCAGCTGTCTCCCAAATCGCACATGGACCCTGGTTTTTATGGGGACAGCCTGGCCCCATGGCCAGGGGACCCTGGGGACTGTCCCCAGCAAGCCCCCGCCCTTTCTTGCTGTTCCTTCCTCTGCACTTCCCACTGGCTCCTGCTGCCCAGCTGCACTCCTCCTTGGAGAAATCTTGAAATCATCATCAAAATAAGGCCATGCACACCAGGTGGCCGAAACCGCCGCCGGCCTGCCAGCAGCCTCCGGCATGGCATGCTTCCCGGCAGTGACTAACCGGAGCGCCGCTGCCGTTGTCACCTTCCTCGCGTCTCGCGGAGCGGATCTGGGCATGGACCCATCTTGCTGTCATCCACCTTCTCGCCTCTTCCTGGGCGGCTGCCGTGGGGATGCAGGTGGGATGCCCGAGCAGGGTGGGTAAGGGTGTTTCCCCAGCCTGTGTGCTGCCCTCTCTTTTCCCACCAATGGCAGGCAGCGTGGGCAGTGCCGGTGCCTGTCGGGCATTGCATCGGGATGGAGAGACACATGCTTGCTTTCCTGCAGCCCTACTACCCCGTTGTGCCCGTGCTTCAGCTTGCGGGGAGAGAAAGATTTACTTGATGTCCCAGGGGTGGGGTGTGAGAAGGCAAAGCTTGCTAGAAAATGCTTACAAGGCCCCTGTGTGCTCTATAGTGCTGGGCCCTGGGGGATCAGGGCATGGGGACAGCTGCGCGTCACCGCTGCCCTCCGCCTGAGCTCTCCTGGGGTTTTTGGGGTCCCTGGACTGCACTGCTCCTCACGGGAACACCCCTCTGTCTCCTACTGCCTCTGGCAGGTGCTGTTCCATGAAGTGGGTCTTTTGCTGGCTCCAGGGCGATGCAAGACTCAGGCCAGCTCTGAAATGAGATGCTGGAGCACCCCAGGTGCCCGGGGTGGGATATCTACTCCCTGGAAGTCCTAGGTGGTGGAGATTTGATGGTGCTACTAGATCAGCATCAGCCAAACCAGAAAAAGGAGCTCCAAACACAGAGCATCCCACCAACAGCATTATCAACATGGATATTTCAGGATAGTGTCAGCCCTGGATTTCTCTGCTCGTAAATACTACCCTGGAGACAAGAAGAAGAGGGCTTGAAGTCGACCCAGGGAAGGCTGGGTGGTTTGTGCAGGGCTCAGTCCATGCTGGTGACTCAGGATTGGGGCAGCTGTAACAAGGTGGCACCAGCTTCTCCCCCTCCTATTCCGCGGCAGTCGTGGGACACTTCTCTTTAGGTGGATCCCAAGGGAAAGAGCCAAAGGGTGATTCAGATCACAGAGGCACAAAAGGCAAACAAAGAACCCTGGCCCTGAGGAGGAAGCCGTGAGGCTGGGACAGTGCTCAACACAGCCCCCTGCTCAGCTCTGGGCTCAATGTTCCCCACCAGCGTCCTGGGAGAGGGAGTATCGATGGGTAAGTCCAAGGCAGGTAAAACCTGGATAGGTGAATTCCCGCAGACATTTTTTTTTTTTTTGAGGAAGCTCTGAGTGTGTGAAAAAAGATGTTTGTTGGGTTATATAGTTTGATCCTTCCTCCTTTCCTGCTGAGAAATCTGGGTAAATGTTAGCTCTGAAAGACCCACTATGAAAACACTGAGCCACTTCATCGTGTTGGATTCTGCAGAAATGTGTTTTTATGGTCAGGATCTGTTTCCTTTTGGGGAAAATTTTCAGAAGTGCTTGGAGGGCTGTAGGAGCACAACTGCCATTAGATGTCAGGGAGATTTGTTCTTACATCAGGCAGGCTGGGTTCTCTCAGTCCCAGCCCTGTCATTGTCCTTCACATCCTAAATGTTGCCTGCTCAGCCTTAAACCTGAGCAAAGCAGCTGGGGATGGGTCTGGGGCAAGTTGGAGCACTGTAGGGCATTTCTAAGGAAAAGGGACACACACACACCCCAAACAACTGGGCACAATCCAGGGAGAAAGTGAAGGACAAGTGGATATTATCAAGGGAAAGAGGCATTGCTGTGGGTCCTGAGGCAGACAGCAGCTCTCCTGGTACCACGCTGGGTACATGGGGCCCCATGCCATGGGGCATGTAGGGTTGTCCCCTCTTGCAGCCCCACAGGGGACATTTCCCACCATGAAAGTGGGAGAAGAAGCCACAGATCAGCTCTCTGCCACCTCACTGGGGGTTTGACTGGGCATGATGGGGAAAATCCTGCATCTCCCTGGGCTTTGGAGCTGTAGGATCCCACTGCTGATTCAACAGGGACATCTGAATTCTGGAGATGTGACCTGTGCTCCAGCATTGGGCTCATGATAATACTGGACTCAGCTGCTCACCCTAGGGCCTGCCTGAGGATTCCTCTTGTCCCCAGCACGGTGGGATGCTCTGGTCCTACTCAAAGGGACCGATGGCTATTGAGCATCCCCCTTCCCTGGGCTCGGGATGGGCTTGGGCAGCACAGGGAGGTCACTTCTGACATGCTTGGGATCCAGCCCTATCCTGCCATAGGAAAATCAGCTCAGAGCTGGACAGAAAGACACTGGGAGCTTCTGGTATCTGCACTTGCACTGCTGCCACTGCTGCCTGGGATACGTGAGACCCCCCCCGGAGTACCCAGTGGCAGGGTGCCTGCAAAGTCAGGTCCCTCCCTAGGGAGACCTGACTCATTTGTGGCATGAGTAAGACAGCAGCCATTCCTCCTTGCTGCCCCAGTGGAGGGGCTGAGGTCCCGGACCCCCTCCCTGGCAGGGGTGCGTTTGACAGACAGCCCTTCTCCAGCCTGCCGAGAGCTGTCCCCTCCTCCCTCCCTGCCCAGCACGCAGCCATCCTCAACTCCAGCCCTGCTCCCCCCGTCCCCACTGCCTCCCTCCACCCCGCCAGCCCAGTCGGCAGGAAAGTGGCACCCCTCCTTGCCTGTTATCACTTCGCCCGCTCCCTCTCCTCCCTCCCTATCGCCGGAGAAAGCGAGAGGAAAAAAGTGTCGGAGCGGAGAGCGCATAGCAACAGGATTCTGGGATGAAGAAGATTCGGCAGCAGCATCTCCGGGAGGTGAGAGCTGGGAAGCAGGGGTGCCCCCGGGGCTGGGAGCTGGGGTGCGAGGGCAAGGCATTCCCATCGCCCCGCCATCCCCTGCCTAGGGAGCCTCCGTGGGCAGCCGGCAGACTTTCCCCTGGCAGGGATTGCAGACAGGGGTAGTGTGCGCGCGTGGGGCCGAGGCGCGATCGTGGGGAGAGGGATGGGGGGCATTTCATAACCACCACTCTTGCCTGGCTGCAATTAGCCCCGGAGGCCCTGTGCCGCGGGCAGAGCTGCCGCCCGCTCCGGCTGGATGGATGCTCTCTCCCATCCCTCCCCTGCGAGCAGGTGTTGCCGGCGATGATTCATGTTGTGTCTGGCCGGGCAGCTGTGGGTGGGCACCTGGGGGCAGAGCTGGCTCCCCGCAGCGTGGCACCCCAGGGACGCTGCTCCCGCCAGCCCTGGGGACTGCCCAGTCTCGGGTAGGAGGGGGTGGTGAGGGGTTCCCCCCCGCCAGCATGATCACGAGGAGCTGGGCAGTGCCTTTCCCACCTGCAGCTCGGGTTGCCTCCTCCTCCTTCTCCTCTGTAGGATTTAAAAGGGTCTGGGTGGTGCTGCACCCTGAACTCTGGGTTCAGGACAGAGCTGGCAGAGCTAGAAACCCTTTTCATATTCTGCTGGAAATCTTTTTTAAACCCAGCTGTCAGGCTTTCTTATCCTAAGCTCCCCTCCACTGCTGCTTTGCTCTTACCAGGCTCTCTGAGACCCCGTCTTCCCCTGCATTGGGGAATGAGCCCCTTCTTGTGCCTGTCCTTCAAGGGGACCCAGTGGAGTGGGGTGGCAGAGGCTGGCAGCCACAGCTCCCTTGTGGGGACGTGCCGCTGCTGCCGGTGGGTCAGCCCTTCCCAGAGCATCCCAGGCAGCGACCTGGGGCTGTGAGCCCCATGGGCTCTGCCCTCTGCCAAACCGTGCCCACTAACCACTGAGCAGGGCAATGCCAACCTGTGCCATCCTTCAGATGGATGGAAACCCAGGAGAGTTTCATCTCTGCCAGGAAATTCCTAGGATATTGGGACAGGACGTAAAAACGCCAGCAGTGACCTGGTGAAATCCAGCAGCTATGTGATGGCCCTGGCAGCCTCAGGGCTGCCTACCTTTCTCGGCTGTTGTTTGGAGGCATCATCTGGCTCTTCCTTCTCCTTTTTCCTACAAATTGCTTTTTCAGGTGACTTCATGACTGCAAGATCCATTAAAAGTTGTCTTTGTCCCTTTCAAAGGCTTTTTGAGATACTTGAATTTCTTTGCTGCTGGTGATCCTGTTTAAAATTTATTCAGGAATTCATTTAGTCCCACAGCGATCAACTGGAATGGAAAGCAGATGTCTCCAGAGTTATTTTCCCCATTCCCAGTGCTGATCAGGGCCCTGCTGTCCTTCATTACCCCAAAATACTTTTGCTGAGCTCCAGATGGAGAACCCGGTGCTCGCAGCCACCCGGCACCTTGGGACCACCATGTCCCACGTTGGCACTGGGCTTGTTCAGTGGAGGAGTTTGCACAGCCCCAGCTGCAGCGCCCGCTGGGGACCCCAACAGCCTGCTCTCCCTCTCATGATCTGTTTCCCATTGGTGAGCCGGGAGTTTTAAGCCTTCTCACCAAACATGTTTTAAACATATGGAAATTCCTCTTTAATAGAGATCTTTCTCAGGCTCTAAGGATTTCAGGTTGGCTTTTGCATAAGACTGTTTCCAGAAGAGCTGAACGGATGGTTTTTATTTGTCTGCTTACTTGCTTTGGGGGGGTTATTTGGTAGAAATGTGCTAAACCCCATGAAGGACAGTGGAGCCAGGACAGGATTTGGGCTGCCCCTCCTCATACCCGGCCAGGCTGCCGAGCAGCACCCTCCTGAGCCGCTGCCCTTCTCCACCTGCCACAAACTGCCTCAAACCTTCCCCAGGGTTTTGGGGTGAAAGACCATAGGCATTCGCAGCTGTGCATGGTCCCTGTGCTCTGGGCATTGCTGTAATGAGTTTGCTTCAGCCTCAGCAATCTCCAGCCCCCAAACCCCCTGTGCTGGCTCCAGCATCACTTGCTCCCTCTCCTGGCATGAGCTGCAATCCTGGGCTGGGGGAAAACGGGGTTAGCACAGCCCTTGAACGGGCTCTTCAACACCATAGAGATGCTTTATTTACTTCACTTTCTAAGTGATATTACATTTGAATTCATTTTTATGCTTTTTTTTTTTTTTTCTCTGAGAAATTAACAAGCAATTCAAACTAATCTGAAGTGACTCACACTTTACAGACACACTGTGCTCACACACGACTCAGATCCGCAGGGGAGAAATCTGGCATCGGATGGCGTTTCTCCCAATCAAAGGCTGTGGTCCATGCACAAAGCACTGACAAAATAACCCCAGCAATGCCAGTTTGGATGGAGACAAAATATAATGAAAAAGTAACTTTAATCTGGCTGGCTTTTCACAGGTACAGCTGAGTTTTGCACTGGTTTAAGTAAACTGGTTTACAGAAAATAATTAGCATAGGGCAATTTCCTTATGGAAGTCAGCTCTTATCTTGGCAGAGACTAAAGTGCTTTTTCTTCTTGGTGACCTTTGCTTTGCTGACTACTTTGGGAGCATCTTCTGTGTGATGCCGTGTTCAAAGAGGACGTGGTTGCCAAGGGAGCTGTTAGTCCCCGTCTGTTTATAACCGCGAGACGGGAGCCCGGTTTGAAAGATGGCAGTTGACAGTGGAAAGCACTAGAGCAATATTGTAGCACCAGAGCACTTCAGCTGCTGCTGAAAAATAAAATTCCTGTTATGACAAAGGCTAAAAGGGAGCATTAATCCTAAAAAAAAGGGCTGGAATTGAGCCACTGTGTGAGATTTCCAGCAGTCTGAAGCAGAGGTGTGCATCTCTGCTCTTTGGGACAAAGATGAGCTGGAATCCTTAAATACTGCATTTTGCATTTTTGCAAGTCAGGCAAATAAGCCAGGTTTTCAGTGATTTCTATGGAAAGGCTATGATTTGGGGCATCACAGTCATGGAGCAGATTCTGTGTGCATTTTCCATCAGCATCACTGGCCTGTGCCTCCCCATCCTGCCTGGTGGGGATCACAATGTCACCATCTTTGAGGTCTATCTGACTCCTGAGCAGTCTCTGCTTGCAGCCCTGGGGTTCCAAATTAAAACTGCAGAGCTCCAGCTAAAAATATTGATAAGGGAGGCAGTCATCACCAAGACACGGGTGACAAACTACATCCCATGGCCTCTGAAACAGGAGACTGAGATGGGGAACAGGCCATGTAGTTTGGAAAAGGTCCTGCTGGTCCCTCTCCTTTTGTTGCTTCTGTGTTGATTTCCATGTTACATCTGATGGATGGGCACCTGTATTTAATCAGGTCATGCAGCTCCACCGGTGTCCTCTTGCAGCTGTTTAGGATTCAAGCAGAGGTGCAGGAATTAGGTGAGAGGATTTGATAATCTCCCATCATCTCTGCTTGCTATTTTTCTGTGATGCAAACCTGGAAAGTGAGACCCTCCCAGGTGGTGTGAGAGATTGAGAAGTATTTTTGGGGGGGAAAGACCAAACTGTGATGGCCCCATAGCTTCTGTCCCCACATGGCAGGGACCTTTGTGAATACAGGTTTTAGCCACTGAAGCTTTCAGGAGGGATGTTGCAGAGCAGTCTGTCCATCACCTGCAAATGCAGGTCATGCCTGGTGTGTGCACTGGGTTAAGCAGCAGGCAGGGACACAGTTTGGAGAAGTTGCTAAGCTGGAGAGCTGTGTTTAACAGCTGCAAGAGGGCTGCCAGGTAGCAATAGTTTTATAGCAACAGTATTATATTTGGATCACATTTTGACTTTTCAGTTTGTTTCTGAAGCTTCTTCTTCTGGTCTTTGGCTTGTGATGGTGGCATCCAGCTGGGATGGGCTTTTAATGGTGGGTTATAGTGTAACACTTTTGTTCAAGCAGTGAATTTCAGGTTGGCTTTGGGAAGAGTTTGGCCCAGCTCATCCTGTCCCTTGTGGGGTTTGCACGCTGAATGGGGACAGGTTCGCCTCCGTGTTTGATGCCTTCAGGTTGTGAGAAGCACATGTACGGTGCCGGTGCTGGTGGCTGGAGGAGTGGGGTGCACCCTGCAAAGGGTGGAAGCCTGCAGCCATCAGCAACGTGGTTCCTTGTCTCCATGGGAACCAGTAGTAAGAGCATCCTGTGGTCCAGCAGGAGAGGGAGAGGAGGAGGAGGAGAGGTGATGGCTGTCACAGGACAGTGCTGGGCTCTGTTTGCCAGCCAGCTCTGATCTCCCAGAGGATGGAGGCCTGCTGCAGGCTCTGAGCACATGTGCATGCTGGTGCGAGGGGATCCACAACTCCTTCTGGCTGATCCCTCCAAATCCAGGCCCCTCTCCCTCAATCACATCCCATGGGCTTGTTCTCTATGATCTGTGAACTCAGGGACACGGAGGTGGCTGCTTTTTTCTTTTGAGAGCCCAAGAAGAAGGGAAGGTTCCCAGATGGGCTCTTCCTGCCCTGGTCCTGGTGCCTTGTCAGCAGGGACCCCAGCATCCTTCTGTCTCTGTGTCTCAATACCAGTCAAACCTGACATACTATCAGGCAGGAGCACAGCAACATGCAGTGGCACAGGGACAGGATCCTTATCTCACCCCTTTTTGCTTCCCTGACTTGCCAAGGGGACATCTACGATGGGATCTCACCTGGCAGCTGCTGGCTGAGGCTTTCAGCTTTGGTGACTGACAGTGGGATGAGAGCCAGTGGGGATGCCTTCTCTGTTATCCCAGGTCAGGAGGCTGGGGGAGTTCAGACAGACCAAACATCTCACTGCAGACCTGATGTAAACAGACACACAAACCACCAAGGAGCCCTCCTGGTGTATCACCCGAACCTAAATGTATTGCAGGACTCATACCTCCCGCTTGCAGAGCTGAGGCAGCCAGGGAGGGAGGGAATGGGTTAATCCTCTGCCTGCTGAAGAGATGCCTGTGCCTCACTGATCCAGGGCAGATTAGGAAAGCTGGAAGGAGCTCTCTCAGCAGAGACAACTGGGAGTGCGGGACCAAATCCCCATGGTATAGGCTTTTGGCAGTTGGAAAAGCATGAAACCGTCATGGAGCATTTAATGGCAGCTGAGCATCCAGCATGGCAGGGGCACATGGGGCTGAGATGTCACACTCCCTGGCACACCAGCGGTGGTTCTTCCCCTGCTGTCATCACACGCATGTTCTGCAGGTGATCAGGAAAGTTTATTGTGACCCCTTGAAAGGATTTCTTAGGAAACTGGGGTTGCAAGATGTGTCCTTGCTTTCCAGGGTGAACCAGGGACATCTTGTCTTTCCCAGGGGAGCTTTGGCCATTTGAGATCACATTTATCTCCTTTCCTTGCTCAGCAGCAGAGCGGGACATCAGCTGGGGTGGTGCACAGAGAGCTGCTGGGATGGGGTGTCCCCAAAGGACAAGTGTCGATGCTGTGACTCGGGGTCACAAATTTCCACCTGAGCTCTTTTCTTCTCTCCCACTCTTCATCACCTGTTTTTATTAATTCCTTGACCCCTGGCTGCCCTCTTTCATCCCCTGCTCTCTTGCTCAGCCGGTGACGCCAGAGCTCCTGGTGAGCCCCAGCAGCCAGGATGGGGAGCTGGGCTCCGAGTGCCCAGAAGACAGAGGGAACTGGACAGGGCGGTTGGATTTCCTCCTCTCCTGCATCGGATACTGCGTGGGCCTTGGAAACGTCTGGAGGTTCCCCTACAGGGCTTACACCAATGGAGGAGGTACTTGGGCACCCTTTGGAGTGGCCACATCTCCCCCTCACTGAGTTGGGCTGGTGGGACGTGTCTCTGAAGAGATGCCACTTCACCTTCTTGGGGCTGGGAAGTAGCATTCATTGTTGTGGGGTGAAGCCTCCTCCTGCTCCCCATGCTTGCTGTAGGGCATTAACCAGCTGTACCTATGTGTGGAAGGGACTCACCAGCCCATCTCTGCACTCATGACCCTGGAGACATCCCCAGCTCCCTGCTGGACTGAATACCACCTGAGCATCCCTCTTGGTTTCCAATAGCTTCTTGACCTGTTGTCCTCCAGAACTTAGCGAAGCCAGCAAATGTTTCCCAGGCATTGAAGGAGGGGAGTGAGCCTTTTGCAATGCAAGAACCCAGTGTGATGGTGAAAAGTGCCCAGCTTGTTCAACTACTCCCAGAGTAATTGCTAGTCACATGCAACAACAACCAGAGAATTTCACAGTTTGTGAAAGATTCAAGGAGAAAAGAGAGTCAAGGGTGGGGAGGGAAGCAAGGCACCGTTGAATCACAGCCCCTTTCTCCTGCACTCATGGTGAGCTGCCACCCCTTGCTGTCTTCCAGGTTTTGGTGTAGATCCCTCAGGGCCACAGATGTTGAATGAACTTTATTCCCTGTCATAGATGGGCTTTAGGTATTTGCTCTGTGCTATTTCTAGGGGTTTTTTCTTACCTTTTGCAGGAGCTTTCTTGGTTCCTTACTTCATCATGCTGGCCATCTGCGGGATCCCCATTTTCTTCATGGAGCTGTCACTTGGCCAGTTCTCCAGCCTGGGGCCACTCGCTGTCTGGAAGATAAGCCCTCTCTTTAAAGGTGCGTGAATGAAGTCCAGAGCCTTTGTTGGGCCTCTGGAAGAGTTGCTTGATGAGGACATGGACCAGCAGCAGCATCCCATGATCCTCAAAGCTCTTGTTAGAATCAAAGGTTAAATTATGGGAGAAAGTGGAGCAAGCTGGAGATCTGGCTTAGCTGTTTTAGTAGCTGCAAGATATGTGTGAGATCTACCAGTCTTTGGAGGCTCTGGGTGTCATGACCAGCTCTAGAAATTGTCTGAAAATTATTAAGCCAGCTAGTGTACAAAATACAGCATCAAAGCTAAGCAATGACTGTTAAAGGCAAAGGTAAGAATAAATTGTTTGAAAAAAGGTCAAATCAAATACTTTTACTCTCAACATTAAGTTGTAGCAAAATCATCTGTATGATGCAATAGATCATCAATTCAGAGAACACATGTCTGGAGGGTATAATGCCAATAAAAGGCTCCCCACCAGGTGAACCTCTGACTGGTTAAACATTTGGCTGCTGAGATCCAGTGTCTGACCCTGGTTTTGGATGTGCTCTGCTATGGAGAGATGGCTCACTCCTTTTTTACCCTCTCCTTCCTCCAGGCGTTGGCATGGGCACGATCCTCATCGTCTCCCTGGTGGCCATTTACTACAATATGATCATTGCTTACGTTCTCTTCTACCTCTTTGCATCCCTCACAAGCGACTTGCCCTGGCAGCACTGCGGCAACTGGTGGAACACCGACCTGTGCCTGGACCACCACGTCATCAAGGCGGGGAACACCACCTTCCCTGTCAACATCACCAACACCGTCAGCCCCAGCGAGGAGTACTGGAGGTAAAGAGGTCAGCCCAAGCAGGCCACGGGGACATGGTTGGCATCCAACTGGGGAGAGCGTGGGGATGGGATGAGGAGTGAAGGGTCAGTGCTGCACGGCTCATGGCATGGTGAGCATTCATGGTTGTTGTTGTGGGTGCAGTGATGGGCTCTTGTGGTCAGCTGTGGGTGATACCTCAGTTTAGCTGTTGGGATCATGTCCCTGGGATGTGGGAGGTGTCCATGATCTAGTGCTGCTTTGCTGGCCTGGAAATATGTTAGGATGAAATGCATCCCATGCCTGGACTGGCTGGGAATTCGCTCTCAAGCTGCCAGGCATCCCTTCTGGGCTCTTAATGCATGGTGGAGAAATCACACCCACTGCTCCCCTTTCCCCAGCAAATAGCTGCCAGTGCCTTGTTGCTCTCTCATTGCTGGGATTTTTGACAAGGTTATTTTTTGGAGCAGAGACATCGCTAGGTTCAGAGAGGGCCTCTGGAAGAAGGCGGGGGGTGCCCGTGGTGGCTCACCAGCAGTTCTCCTTTCTCCCTAGCCGGTACGTCCTGCACATCCAAGGGAGCTCTGGGATCGGGGATCCCGGGAAGATCCGCTGGAATTTGTGTCTGTGCCTGCTCCTTTCTTGGACTATCGTCTATCTGTGCATCCTAAAGGGAGTGAAATCCTCTGGCAAGGTAAGGGCTGGACAGTCTCTTAGGGAAACTGAGACCCATAAAGAGCATCAGCTGGACACAGGCCACCCCAGGGACAACTTGCACACCCAGACCCTGTTAGGCCTGACACCACCGGCCCGGCTGCTTCCCAAGGACCCCAGCACTGCAGGGTGATGCCGGGCAACGCGGTGTCCCACCCCAGGGACGGGGCTGTGGGGAACTGGTGTGGTCTCACTGCCGGCTCTCCCAGCTGGCTCTGCTCTCCCGCAGGTCGTGTACTTCACTGCCACCTTCCCGTACCTCATCCTGGTGATGCTGCTCGTTCGTGGCGTGACCCTAGAGGGGGCCTGGAAGGGGATCCGGTTTTACCTCACACCCCAGTTTGATCACTTGCTGTCTTCCAAGGTGAGTAGGATCTTGTGCAATTTCTTCAGGACACAAAAATGAACCTTCTCCTGCCACCTCCAGCATGTAACAGAGGTGGTTCCCTTACTTAGGTGCCTTTTCTGGACACCCCCCCAGTCCAAAGTCCTCTCTCTTGGTTGCTCCCAGACCAAAAGTATTTGCTTTTCAGCAATCTGACTTCGCTCCACACCTTGTCTATACCTCTCTTCCAACCTGGCCCAGCACCATGCATGCATTTCTGGCTGTCTGTGCAGGGGCTGGTGTGCTCACCACCTCCCCTGGGTACCCAGACCATGGGCAGGATTAGCCCAGCCCCTGTGACAGGCTGGGGGATGTGATGGGTGCCCATGGTGGATTTGGCTGTTGTGTTTTTCTTGCTGTGCAGAGCTGGGATTTTCCTTGGGTCAGCAGTGTAGGTAGTAGAGAACACCCAGTTCTACAGGGGCATTTAATGCCACACTGGGCTGACTCTAAACACTCTCATCAACCCTTCCACTATCCAGTTGATCCACTACAAGTGATGAGCATGTTAGCAAGGAAAGGCAAAGACCCCATGGGCTTTCCATGCCTGGAGGGCTGGAGAAGCTGTGTTGGGGGCTCTGGGGAAGCACATTTACAACTCTTCCTCAGGAGAAGGTTTCCAAACTCCTGCTCTCCTCAGACCTGTTTCCTTCCCCCAGGTGTGGATCGAGGCAGCCCTGCAGATTTTCTACTCCCTTGGGGTAGGCTTTGGGGGCCTCCTCACCTTTGCCTCATACAACACCTTCCACCAGAATATCTACAGGTGGGATCCAGCTGCTATCTCATAAAAATCATGGGTTGAGGGGAGCCATGAAAACCTCAGCTGGTGGGATCAAAGTCAGCAGAAGCATGCAGTGCAGCACATGGTCATCCAGTGCTTCTCCTTGCCCAAGCACCTTACAGATACCTGGGAATCTGCACAGGCTTGAGAGGGACAGAGAGACCTGTGGAAGAAAATTCTCCTAAGCATCAAGGCACAGCACCTGGCTCAGAAGTTTTGGGCTATAGGTGCTGAAGGCTGTGGATATTTGAGGCTAGAGATACGCATGTTTGTCCTGTCCTCACCGTCTATTGCAGATCACCAGCAGAGAAGGGAGTCTGGGTGTTGGACATTTGGTGATCCCTTCCACAGGGGAAAGCAAGCTTGGGAGGAACCCCACAAAATGACCTGTGTCACTAGATATATGCTACTATGAGCCTGGAAAGTACATGCCAAGAGAGGTCCTGGAGGAGAATCACACTGGGTCACTTTACTGTGGCACCTGGGGCTGGCAATGTCACCATGCACTGGGGTGGGGTGGGAAGGAGTGGGCATGTTCAGAACATCTTCCTTCTCGTCTGTAGGGACACCTTCATAGTGACCCTGGGCAATGCCGTCACCAGCATCCTGGCAGGATTTGCCATCTTCTCTGTTTTGGGATACATGTCCCAGGAACTTGGCGTCCCTGTTAACCAGGTGGCAAAAGCAGGTAAGACCACATAAAAACCCTTTTTCCTTCACCCTCTGCCTGGATGCACTGACGACCATCCCTTCCAGGATGGACAGCATCTGAGGGTGTCAGCATGAGGGCTGGACCTATATGCTCAGCTGGCTGGGGGGCAGAAAGGAGGAGACCGGTTCCTGCCATGCAAACCCTCAGCAGCACCAAGTGATGTCTAACAAAGGCCTGAGCAAGGAGCAGGCTGGTTTTCCCTCACCTCTCAACCCTCTGCTGCAGGTCCCGTCCTGCCCATATTGCAAAGGCCCTGGCAGGTCCCTGCTGCAGTGCCACTCTGCCTGGCTCTCCTGTACTCCATCCCCCCGTGCCCAGCACCATCACCCCCTTTTCACCCTGCTGTCCTTTGCCTCCCCTAGGTCCTGGCCTGGCTTTTGTGGTGTATCCCCAGGCCATGACAATGCTCCCCCTTTCTCCATTCTGGTCTTTCCTGTTCTTCTTCATGCTGTTAACCTTGGGCTTGGACAGCCAGGTAAGGACAGAGCCCACCGAGCCAGCCGTGGTGCCCAGGCAGCCCAGGGGGCTCAGGAGACCCTCTTCTCCTTTGTGCACAGTTTGCATTTATGGAGACCATCGTTACGGCAGTGACAGATGAATTTCCCTACTACCTGCGGCCAAAGAAAGCTTCCTTCTCAGCTGTCATATGTATTGCTCTCTTCCTGATGGGGCTCATCCTCACAACAGAGGTAAGGGTATGGGGCTGGATGCGCCTTGGGGACTGAATAGGGCCTCATTTTAGGAAGAGCTTAGGGCCAGAGCCCAATTTGCAGCGACATGTATTCACATCAGCTAACAAGGTGGAAGGGAGACAATCAATGAGCCTGGGCTTCCTGGGGATGTGAAATCCAAGGGGAGCAACACTGTTATTCCTGTCCCTGCACCAACCCCAGAAGGAGAGTTGTGTCTCCTGGGGATGCCGGCTGCTGTCTTCTTCAGTGCCCCCAAAAGGTCTAAGGGGATGTGTCCCCAAAAGCAGGAGGACATGAGGGAGGTTTTGTTGGCATGCTGGTCCCAGGGATGCTGGTCACTGTGCTTTATCTCCACAGGGTGGGATGTACTGGCTGGTCCTACTGGATGACTACAGTGCTGGCTTTGGTCTCATGGTGGTGGTGATCACTACCTGCCTCGTGGTGACACGTGTGTATGGTAAGAGGGTCTTTCCCCACAGGGGCATGGGGAAGGATGGGCTGTCTGTGAAGAGAGGGATTTAGAGGGAGTAGTAGGGGAGCCTGCAGCCTTGAAATGGAGCATGAAACATCTCTGCTCCAACCTCTTGTTCCTTCATGGCCATCACTGGATTTACATCTCCAGAGGTACTTGGGGTGCTGAGCCCGGTCCCTCAGACAGCACCAGCTGGGCCCTCCTACCTGCATCTCCAAGCTGGCAGGGGAGACACTTCTTTGTTGTAGAGGATGAAACCACTGCTTTTGGTGGGTGCAGGGCAACCTGGTACCTGGCTCTAGGGGAGGGATCACGGCTTCTGAGTCTCTCTCCCTCCTCCAGGCATAAAGAGGTTCTGCCGAGATATCCACATGATGCTGGGATTCAAACCAGGACCCTACTTCAGAGCCTGCTGGATGGTCCTTTCGCCGGCAACGATGATGGTAACTGCTCAGCTTGAGGTGCTGGACAGTGGTGGAGAGTCACAGTGGTGCCAGCATCCCTGCATGACCTCCCCTTGTGAGAAGTCACTCTGCTGCTGTCTCATGTTCCAGGGACCGTTCTGGTTCTACTGGGAGGTCTCCGGGCCTTTTTTGAGTGTGAGACCTTCAGAGGGGTCTGGGCTGTCCTCACTTTCTTCCCATCCTACAGGCTCTGCTGGTGTACAACATTGTCAAGTACCAGCCCTCCAAGTACGGCAGCTACCGCTTCCCCGCCTGGGCTGAGGTCTTAGGCATCCTCATGGGAGTGCTCTCCTTCCTGATGATTCCCGTGGGCATGGTGGTGGCTGTGCTCCGGGAAGAAGGGACACTGTGGGAGGTAGGAGGTGTTGGGGTCCAGCATTGCTGGGAAACACCCCAGAAATGTGTGAGGTGACCACAAGACCCTGTTGAGCCTGTCCCTCCTTGCTGCCCACAAGGTGTGAGAGGCTGCCCAAGGGGAAGCCCTGGGGGCATCCCCCCCTCCAAAACAAGTCTGCTACCCCTTGCCCTGTAGGGAAGTACATTGTCCCTAGCGTGGGGCAGGCATGGGCACGTGGGACTTTGTACCCATTTTGCAGAAGCAATGACAGAGCGAGGAAGGCAGCTGTCAGACCTTGCAGGCAGCCCCAGGCAGCACGAGAAGGATCTCTCTGCTCAGAGGTTTCACCCGAGAGCAGGTTATGGAGTTGCTGGCTGCTCACAGCCTTCCCATCCCCGGCTGCACTTTGCTGCTCTCCCCAGGCTGTTAAAAGCAGAAGCAGCAGAACTTGCTGCCCTCCCCAGGCAACAACTCACCAGCTGGTGCACTTACTGACTGAAATCTGGCTTGGCACAACTGTGGGCATGGTGGCATGGCCAGGAACCACCTAAAATAGCCCTGATCTCCCACAAGCCCTCCCCACCAGCATCTGCGGAGCATAACACCTCCCCAGACCACAGCAAGGTTGCCTATACAGAGATGCCTTCCCAGAAAGTTTCAGGACAGGCTTTTGGCCCCATCCCATCCTCACCAGGGGCTCTTTCAGTCCCTTGGGGCTGGCAGAGCACACCGTTCCCTGGGAGGGGCGGGTGAGCTGCTGGGCGGGGGTGCTGCCCGAGGAGCAGAGGGGATGCTGGCGAAGGGTGCCCATGATCCCTCCGCCTGTCTCCTTGCAGCGAGTCCAGCAAGCCAGCCGGCCCGCCATGGACTGGGGCCCGTCACTGGAGGAGAACAGGACTGGCACGTACGTGGCGAGCCTGGCCGGCAGCCAGTCCCCCAAGCCGCTGATGGTCCACATGCGGAAATACGGGGGCATCACCAGCTTTGAGAACACGGCCATCGAGGTGGACCGGGAGATGGAGGAGGAGGAGGAGTCCATGATGTGAGAGGACCCAGCACCCCATGGGCTGGGGGGGGGACACACTCACCGCCCCCCAGTTTGCACAGGTTGCACTGCAGCACTTCAGGACAGCTTGGGAGGGGGTCTTTGGGGGAGCATTGGGAGCTACCAATTCTGCTGTCTTCCTCACTGCTGCCCTTGCCCTGCCAGGACAGAGTTACTGCCTGTCCCAGCACCCCCGAGGTGTTTCTGTTCCATGTGGCAAGCTGTGTGACGAGTCCATGCGTTCGTGTGACAGTGTCTGGTGCAAGTGTCTGGGCTGCCCCGCTCCCACCCTCAGCCCCAGGCCTGCCCTCCCCACGCAGGGATGCTCGGGCTGCAGGGATGCTCAGGCTGTGGGAGACGGGGAGGAGGAGGAGGTCCTCTGTGTTGGTCTGTTCTCTGTTCATGTGTATTTAACTCCAATAACCCACAAACACATGTAAGAAAGGACTCTAATATCCTCCATGCCCTGAGGATAATGTGTATTGGTGTGTTCTGCTTACAGGGAGGTACTACAGCAAAACCAGCACAAATCAGTGTCCTGCTAAAGAAATATAACCTCAGAAACAAGCATTTAAAAACAGTTAGAAGGGGAAAAAAATGCTTTATAAACAAACAAGCTTGGGCCTTTCCAAGCTTGTAGGACCCCCAGGGACATTGGTGGGTCAGGGCAGCTCTTCACCTTGGTGCCTGTTGGGGCTGCAGTGAGCTGAGGGAAGGGACGAGGCTGGGTGGCCCGTTCTCCATGTGTGCAGGAGGTCAGGGACAGGTCTCAGCTGGACCCAGTGCCAAAGGAGGACCCGTGTCCATCCCCAAGGGGGATGCGAGGGCTGTCCCTAGCCCTGGGTGCTGCTTTTCCCAGGGAAAGGCGGAGGGCTGGATTTCAGTGCCTGTGTGTGATTTTGGGGTAGATCAGCCTGGGGCCCATGTCCCAGAAACGCCATCTCCTGCTGACCGTGCTGGCCTGGGGGATGTCAGTGAGCCCCTGGATGGGGCTGTTAGGACCCGCTGCTGCCAGTCCCCATTGCCCCAGTGTCGTGTGCGCCTTCTCCCGTGTACCCTTGACTCGCCATTAAAAAGCGATGTCTGACACGGCCTCTGCATGGGTTATTTGGGGGGTCCTCAGCATGCAAGAAAGGCACATCTAGGGGGGAATTTCCAGGGATGGGGGGCACAGCCTTCCAGGGCTTTGTCCTGCAAACCTCAGTCCTGATCAGGTAAAATCCAAAACCACACAGAATAAACAGAAAAATTAGTGTTTATGTCTGGATTATGCATGTAGCCCCAGTGCACTGGGCTAGTAACCCCATGGGCCACGCAGCCCTGGGTCCGGCGCCGTAGGCTGAGCCTCCAGGGTGAATCTTGGCATGAGGCTGTGGTTTTCCTTAGCGGCCCTTCCGTATGGTGGAGGACTTTTAATTATTGCCTTCGCCGCTCCACAAGAGCAGGGCCATCTCCAACACCTTCTCCTCCTGCCCACCCGCCTCCCCATACCCAGGGATGCTGAGTTCTCATCCTCTCCAGCTCTGCCCTTCCTTTTCCCTGCAGGACCACTGATGGCTTTCCACGTTATACCCCACCCTCAGGGATGATGGGGGTCCCCCAGCCCCAGCCCCTCCAGCTGCATGGGGCTCTGGCAGCACAACGGCACTGCAAAGCACCTTCGGCCGCTAGCCCCCGGGTTAATCATTAGAAGCCAACCATAAAAGTGTCGCTGATGGAAAGTTCAGGCTGTGGCGGCTGGGGAGCGGGGAGGGCCTGTCATAAACATTTATGGCCCCAATGAATCCCTCGCTCTAACCTTGACACTATTTACTGAGCAGGAGGCCTCGGGAGGTCACGGTGCTGCCCAGCCATCGCTGTGGGTGCTGGCTGGGGAGCCCGGGCTGGGCTGGCCCTGGGAGGGGCACACACGGGGGTCTGCATGGTGTGATGGAGGGGGTGATGGATTCGGGCATTTCCTACCAGCCACAACGTGTCAGAGCAACCAGGAGAGCCTGAGGCATTCCCACGGCATGGAGATGAAGGTGCCTTGGGTTGACCAAGCTGGTCTGGTCTCTGCATGTCTCCGACCTTTTTCTACCCACAGGGAATCCTGCCCCATTCCCCAAATCCCTCCTGAAATCCCGGGATCCTCTGGGCTCTCCCTGGGAAGCTGTCATCAGTCAGCGTTGCTTTGTAGAGAGATGGGAAGGATGGAGCAGAGGCTTTGCTGGGGATGTGGTGGGGAGCAAAGCTGACAGCTGTGCGGGGAAACCAAAGGTAAAAGGTGCCAGGGCAGTGGCAGAGCCGGGGGACATGTCCCCTGGGCCACGCGTGGCTGTGCATGGGGGGCTGTGGGACTCACTCATGGCCACAAGCCTTACACCTGGGACCAGTGGTGCATCCATACCCCACGATGTGGCCTGGGGTCCGATGCCATCCTCCCTACATCCCTGGAGACAAGCACCCACTCCACTCCTGATGTTTTGGCCTCCCAGCGTGTCCCGCTGCTCTCCCAGAGAGCTCAGGGCTTTCTCCCAGTTTTTTTGCAAGACCCTTCTGCCCGGCCGGGTGTGGGATGGTGGACAGCGAGGGGCAGTCCCGGGGGTGCCTGTGTCCCTGCAGCTCTCCCTGCCTGTGCCGGGCTGGGGAAATGGGTGACACAGGTGACAGGAACGGTCCGGTGCTGACATCTGCTGGGGCCGCAGCTCATGGCAGGGTGGGTGGGGACCCCCAAATCCCCCAAAGGGGGCACCTCAGCGAGCAGTGGGACTGCGACTGGGTCTGGGGTGTGCAGGGCAGGGACAGGGTCTGTGCAGCCCCCCACCCCCCTTGGGTACCAGCCTGCGTCCACAGGCAAATCCCAGCAGCTGCCCCTGGGAGCTCCCCCAAACATAACCTAGGCTCGGCTGGGGCTTTCTGTGCCCCGCACCCTGCAGCATCAGCTCCCCCAAAACTTTTCTTGCTGCCCAGTGGGCGAGCTCGGCACCCACCTCCCAGCCAGCCCCAGGCAGCACACGGGGTCTCCCACACACCTGTAGCCCCCAGAGCCCTCTCCCTGGGAAAAATGGGCCGGGTTGGGGTGAGCCAGGTCTGGGGGTGACATCAAGCTCTCCTGGGGCCTCCGGGGTGCTGGTGGTCAGGGGCAGGCAGCGCCCAGGGTACCAGCATCCCACAGGCAGGAGGAAAGCACCTGCTGCTGCTGCCCAAGGAGTGATCCCAGCCTTGATGCTTTCGAGGACAGGAGCACGGTGACGGAGGGACAAGGCAGTGGCAGACGGTCTGAGTCACTGCAGTGACGGAGAATCATCCGTTTCCATGCTCAGAAGTTGGTAGCTATTTATTGCACTTGAACACCAAGAATAAAACTGACACTCGCCCTCCCTCCCACACCCACCCTGCTCCCGGTCCCTCCCGCCGCCCTCCCCAAATAGAGCATCCAATTTGAGCAGTGATCATTCTGTTCACAGCCACAGGTTCCAAAAAAACAAAGGAAAATGAAACAAAATCAATCCCTCCCCCCCCATCAAGCTCCCACTGAATCCAACACGGTCACACTGCTCGACAGTTCGAGTGCACTTACAAAAAGATAAGAGAAAGGCTTCAGCTGCAACCGTACGGACTGACAGACACGAGGGGACAGGCAGCTACCCCTCCCCGGGGCCTGATTTTTTGTTATGTGACAAAGCTTGGTATACTCTTAATTATAATATATTTTTTGCAATCATCTTAAATAAATATTTCCATAGAGATTTCCTGTAAGTATATATATATTTTTTATATATATAATATATAAGAGAGAGAGAGATATCTCATTTTTTTCTTAAACCACTGTTAACATATTTTCCCTGCTTGTCAAAAAAATGTTACAAAAGCCCTAAAGTTGTGCAACAGTTAGAAAAAAGGGACAACAACCCAAAGAAGGAAGGAGCCTCTCGATACAGCCCCCTCCACCTCCCCCTCTCCCACTCCCTGTCAACCTGCAGGTGGCAAGGATATTCAGCCGAAGGGCAGGGAACTGGTGGGTGGCCTTTGAGGGATGGGTGGTAGAGGGGCCACCAGCCCCTCCTCTGATGTTCCCACAGCCTGTTCACGTCTGGGTTTTCCTGTCTGGTACGGATGGGCTGGGACCTGCACCTCTGGAAATGGGTAATGGTGAGGTCTCTACCCTACTAGCAGGATGGCTGTTACATCAGGAGAGGGGTGTACACCATGAGCTGTGTCCTGTGGTGGGGAAGAAGGGTTAGCCCAGCTTCTGGGATGATCAGAGGAGCTGGTTATGGGATCTTCTGCTGACAGACACCGCTTGGTCCATGGGGCTGCCCTCTCAAACACAGCACTGCTGTTTGCCAGTCCTCCCCTGCCGTGGGCTGCAGAGCAGACCGGGAGCTCAAAGCGGGAGCAGAGAGCGGCTGCTGCCTTCTCCAACCTCTGGGGCTCCACGGGAGCATCCGCTCGTGGATTACAAAGGGAAGGGAGGCAGGTTTGGGGTCAGACAGGGGTTCGGTGCCTGGTAGAGCGGGCATTTACTCGGGGTAGGGGTTGAAAGACAGCTCTCCCGGCTGTGCCTGGCCGGGGTAAGGAGTGGAGCACCCGCTCCTCCAGCAAAGAGCAGAGGCCCAAGAGTGGGCTCTTCTTCTTCCAGAGCGGACGCATCAGCAAGACCTGAGAAATGATGATGTTGCAACTGGACCCTGGCAGCCAGGAAGGGAAACTGGGCAACTCCCAAGCCCACCCTTGGAGCTGCGAGCCTGAGACCACCACAGCAAGTGACTTCCACTCAGATATCCCCCTGTGGTCTGTGGGAGGTGGAAGAGATGATCAGTTGGGAGGACTTCTGAGTTTGGTTTGATCCAGATGACCAGGCAACCAGGTGAGTTGGGCTCTGTCTGTACTAGGAAATGAAATGTGCTGCAGCCTGATCTCCAGCCCTGAGGCTGACGGGGACAGGAGGTCCATGGTGGTAAAATCCATCCCAGCGAGGTCACCTTGTCCATATTGCATATTGGGAACACACCCTGGACCTTGACATCCCCACAACCATAATGGGATTGCTGGGGTGATGCCAATCAGCACATGCCAGGGACAGTGTTAACAGCTTAAAAGTGCAGATGTAACAGCAGCATCCCTGGCTTTGCAAACCAAAGGAGGACAGTGGCAGTTGATGATTATTTTTTTTAGTTTTCCTGCAAGTTTAGGAGAAATCAGGAAATGTGAAGGAAGACAGAGACAGAAGCTGTTCACCATGGCTACTGAAAGAAAGGGTGGTGGTATATCAGTGCTTGCTCAGAGATGCTCTGGGGATACAGGAACCTGCTCTGGAGAAGCAGGGCAAGGTGGGGAAGAGAAACCAGGCAGAACAGACCCCTAAAGTGCAGGTGCTTAATGTTGCCAGCATGGGCAGGTTGGGAAGTTGGGTCTTCCTTGGTCAGGCTTCAGCTTGACTGGAAGACTAGAAGGAGTTGAAACCTCAGACTCTGATTTCCTTGGA